CAATAGCTTGAAAGAACAATACTTTACTATCAATATCAAATATTTGTAAGAGAAAGTATATACAGATGCACAAATTATAAGAATTGATAAATTATCCATCAAACATGTCGATGAGTAAGAACGCTAAGAAAATAATATAATTTAAATATTGATGACATGAATTACCAATTATTTTGCCAATTTCCAAAATTGATCCAAGAGATCATATATAAAAACGATGTTACATGTATCTTTTGAAAAAAGTACATATGAGAATATTAAATAAAGCTCTTTTCAGGAGTGAATTTCACGAGAATTGTGAAACCAATAAGCTCGTCAAAATGCTATTCAACAAATTTGTCTATAGCACTACCTCATACAACATAATATAAAAATTTATTGGAGTTCGATGACATCAAACTGTTAACTGATTTCATCAAAAGGGGAGTCATTATACACTGCACAAAATTTTCCTTGCTCAAATTTTTTTCTAATGAGTGTTTCCTATCATATTTCACCATGAGAGGGAGACATTACACACAAACATACAACTTTTTTAGCTATCATTATTTGATCATGAGGTATAATGTGTTGGTCCCTTAAATTGCACAATGTGTGCTTTTGAGTGGGTGGCTTCGGATCAATTTTGGGACGTTATTCAGTTTTGGGACGTTATTCAATATTCGGGATTATGAATTGAGATTGGTACAAGCCAAAATATCGAGTAATATTGAAAATTATAAATAATTAAATATAGCCCACAACTTCCAGTCATTGCTCACACTTCGACAACCTGCAAGCTCCCGTCCAATAGGAATGACAATGGGGCAGGTCCGGGGCGGGTATCATCATACCCATACCCGCCCCGAGGCAAGTCGGGTAATTTATCATGGGTCACGGGTTGGGGCAGGTCGACCCAATGGATATGCAATTTATATTGAAAACATTAGAAATATTCGTTAATTTCATAATAAGACCAAGAAAACAAACCATAGTATGATAAATGTAGTTAAATTATTGGAGAAATTGAGGGTTTCACTAATTTATAACTTTGTTATAGTTAAAAGAATTATGTAATAAAAGGAAAAATCCTATGTAATATGACTAAGATCACATGTAATTTAGGCAAAAACGGGTCGAGAATGGGGCGGGTCAGAGCAGGTCGGGTCGATGAGAGTACCCATGCCCGCCCCGCCTCAAAACAGGCCAAACAGGTGGGGTAAAACAGGTCAGGTCGAAATGGTCATCCCTACATCCCAGCTTAGCTTCCAAGTCTCCTTGGTCACTCTCTTCTCTCACTCAATCTCCCGTTATTTTCAGAAACTCAAAAAGCAAAAACTCCCATTAGTCGTTTCTCAGACTCCACTCCGTCGAGTAAAAGATTACCAAGGGCAATAAAATGAGATATCACATCTCATCCCTTATTTTTTGTCCTTGTCTTAGTCTTAGTCTTCGACCCCTTCAGTCACTACGAAGGCCCCCGATCCGTGCAATGGGATGTGTCTATTTATCTATCTTGTGTCTATTTATCTATCTCTTGACTCGATGATTCGAAATGGGTAAACCTAGGGGTCGTTTGGATGAGTCTTTTTGATGACGCAATTTGGTTCAACTGACTCAAAATGAGACAATTGGGTCAAATTGACCCATTTGGCTTCACAAAATTGAAACGGAACAATTTGGGCTGGGAAAATTGAAATTGCACCGTTATGGGTCAATTGAGAATATCCAAGGGTGTGGGAGGTAATCTTGATTGGCTCATTTATATTCTCTCTTTTTCCAAGTGTAAACCTTTCTTTTTCTCTTTCTCTCTCCCCACAAACAAACTCCAACATCTTCTTTCATCCTCTATTCTTTCTTTCCTTTTCCCAATCTTCTTTCCTTTCTCCTCTCTTCATCACTTTCCTTTTGTCTCCATCTTCTTTCCTTTCTCTACAATTAGTAACCCTTCCTCCTCTCTTCTTCTCTTTCCTTTTTCTCTCTTAGCAACAATCTACCAAAAAAAAAATTCGCCCTTCTCTTTTATGTCCTTTTTTCTGTAACACTCCGATAATTTAGATTTAGGTTCGACCTTAATACGTGATCGGTTGGGTTGACGGTTGCGTACTAACAGTTGCAATCGCAGATTAGTAGTAATAATAATAATAAAGTTATTATTATTATTTAAAAAAATTAAAATAGGGCTTGGCGCCAAGCGGGCAGCCCGCCCATTAACTCAACGCAGCAACCCGACCCTCCCCTTTACAATTCCCACCGCCAGCTTTCCCCCATAAAAACAAAAGAGAGAAAGGCACCAGCCAAAATAAATTCCCAGCCCTCCAGTTATTTCCCCAACCCGACCCTCCATACAATTCCCCCAGCCGCCTACTTTCCCCCCCAGAACCCTCGCCCCATTCTATTCCCATCCCCAAGAAATTCACCGTCGTCGATTAACTCCCCAACCCGCGCGAGTCGACACCGATCCCGATCTCATCCCTCTCGTGTACTAGGTAAGGATCACGAACCCCCTTTCGCGCTTTCTAAACGCGATTTATCGTTAGACTAATTCGGAGCTCGATTTTTATTAGCGGTGACGTTGAGGGTTCGATCAATGAGGATATCAACGTCCTGGGTCATCAAACCTAGGCCTAGGCACGTTCTAGAGGTAAGGGAACTCGATCCCTTTGAGTTAGGTCGATAGTGATTTTTCGTGAGGGTGCAATTCTTTGGTTTTAGCAACATACGATCAGACTTTTAGTGACAGGGTTTGAGTGGTCACTAAAGCTGCTGGGATTTTCCTGAAATTTGTTTTAGATGGTTTAAATTGTTTCGAGTCTTTTTGGGGGGTTTGTTCTCAAGTTTATAATTTTTATAAATTGAGGGAGGTCTAGGAGATGGCTTTGAATTAATTTCGGGATTTTTGAAGATGAATTTCTAATTTTGGAAATTGTTTGAACATTTTTTTTAATTAAATAAAAATAATTCCGAGGAGTTTATAGGGGTTTGATAATTTTTCAGGGTATAAGTACTCATGATTGATGTAGGGAAATTATTATCCGAATTTTTAAGAAGGTTCAAGGTAGGTGGAAAATTTGTTCAAGGCTGAAATAGTTAAGAAAAATGGTCACTTTTGAAGGGATTAATTCTAGAAAATTTTAATGGGGGTTAATTGACCCTTGGAATGAGGTTCAAGGACTAGAGTTTGAGGAGAGGATGTTCTAGTGATTCAAAAGGGGTTTTAAATCAAGAAAGGTCGTCTAAGAAAATGGATTCTTATTAATAGGTTTCTCCAAGATAATCCGGCTAAGGAGGGGTTTCTTCGAGGAAGGAATTGAGGAGTCAGCTTTTCGAGGTGAGTGTAAAGGGGTTAAAATCTCTGTCGTAGGTCTTTTTAGTTTATGCCTTTCGTTCAAGTTATTAATTAGTTAATTTTTGAGTAATGCGCGATATGTGTGTGAGGCATCCCACCGCCTGTAAGGGTGGAGGCACGCGTTGTGCTTTGTATGAGTATATGTATGTTTGTATGGTTAATGGTAAGAGGAACCCCCGGACGGTTGGGCCACTACTGGACGCGGTAGATGGTCTGGTCACTGCTGGACGGCGAGACGTAACGCAGCAGTGGATGGTGTTTGTTTGGGTCACTACTGGACGGCGAGACGTAACGCAGTAGTTGACAGGCATGGACTGGATGGCAAGACGTAACGCAGTGCCATTGCCGAGTTTGGGTATGCAACCGGAAGGCGAGACGTAACGCGGTTGGCATACTAGGGTAGGACACCGGACGGCGAGACGTAACGCGGTGGTCATAGTGTTTTGTGTTGAGATAAGGATAGAGGTCGAGAACTTTTATGGCTTAATGTTGAAATGAGTTGATAAGAATGATTATTCAAGAGCAGAAAGTGAGAACGGCTTTCATGCTAGGAAGGCATTCCCCTAATAACGTGTTTAGTAAGGCGTTGGCCTAGGGCAAAGACATTAGGGAGTAACGACGAGACTGACCCCTTCTCACTCACCAGGTGCATAGAGGGGAAGAGGACGCATCCGTCAAGAGGAGATTACCCGAGGAAAGCAGCCGCGGCTAACCTGAAGATGTCAACTGGATCTGGGTAACGAGATGGGACCTCCCATTATATTTGTCTTTAGTTTCATGTCTTAATGAGTATACTGGGGAAACTCAAGGGTTGTGTTTATGTTTTGTTGTTCTAGGTTGAGGTCGCGCAAGTGTTTAGGGCATTTCACTTGAAAATTTTAAGCATTGTGGTTGTTGACTTTTGGTTTTGACTTGTAAACCGTTTTGGGTTGCTCCGGAGTAACCGTTTTGTGGTTTGAGTTGTGGTTTTGTTTTCAAAAAGGATCGGGTCGTGTCATTTTCTCTCTCATGTAGGCAATCTACAAGGATGATGAAAGGGAAGGTTGATTGTTTCTTTCTCTTGACGAGACCCCATCTGATAAAGGGTGAAGTCGGAAGACGAAGTGGGAAGTTCCTTGACGTAAAGGGAAGGGAGGACCTACGTTTGTTACTCTTTTGGTCTTGCGATGTTGAATCTGTAGAAATCAATTGGTAGTTATGCATGTAATTAAATTGTGGGTCGATATGTATTTTTTTCTATTTCTCATAGGGTTTCAAATTTAGTCAAGCTTAAGTTCATATTTTGGATGCTCTGTTTCTATCAGGGTTTGTTTGATTCAGGGGAAAATCAGATTGCTTGATTTGGTAGACTTCTCCCTATGCTTGGGGTTGTTTCCATTGTTTTGATTCTCAGTGGGCGTACCTTGTTCCCATAATAAAACAGAGGCCACAACAATAACCATTGAATTTTACCATTCCCATGCATCCTAATTAGTAGTGGCTAGTGGAAGGATTGATTATCTTGTTGTGCACAACGGTGATACTGAAGGCTCTTCTTTTATTGATCTTGATTTGATTCTGGTCGCTTACAAGTTACAAAGAGGTAGAGAAAAAGGAGGGTAAAAGTGTATTTTGGACAAAATGTCTCATTTCAATTGACTCATCCTATAAATTAACCAAACAAGACAATTTCACACAAATTTCTTATACAAGTGACTCATTTTTAAAAAATGAGTCAATTGAGTCAAATTGCTTCATTTCCCAATTGATCCATCCAAACGACCCCTAATACTTTTTTTTTTATTCTCTTAACCCCCAATATGCATTGTGATGAAGCTACTCAATCGAGACTTTGATTGAATCCGTTCAATAAGGTCTTTAATTAGTTTATCAATACAGTACCAAAATATAATGAAATTGGGGTACCAAATTTATTTTAGAATCAAAATTGAAATTTATTTGAAACACTATTCGATAATTGAAATTTTGGTTTGATACCGAGATATCAATACCATACCTTAGTAGCTTCTGTGCCGATCCGAACCGGTTCCATGTCCACTGGAATAAGGTAAGGGGGAGAAAAACAAACCCAAACTTACCTAAAACAAAAATTGCGAATCATCAAACCAACCCAGTAAGCTGCTAACCACCCCAAATCGAACTGGTTTCTTCGTAAATGTAAACCTAATACGACGGTGATTATTTCAAGGTAATAAAACGGTGGTCGTTCCAAATACTTAAAGAGAAGATGATTAATTCTTTCCGTTACTTATTTCAGACCATTTCACCTAATAGTGTAATTATTTATGGTAATTAAAACCCCACCACATACCATTTCTTCCCATCTCAAATCATTACCCCTATGGTATGTTGAGATTTTGAGATCTCTTTTCTGTAGTAAGTCGCCTGCATTTTTGGCTCGAGGATGACCAAAAATGGTAAGCAAGAAGAAGAATGACAAACAATATACCCTTTCCCTTCACAAAAAGAATGAATCCCTTCTTCACTGATACATAACAGTTGCGTTGCTTGAGCTTTCTTCACCTTCAAAACGACGAGAGAACAAGAACAAAATGGTGAGGTACTCTGCTCCATTGTTGCTGAGCTGCTTATGCCTGAGCCTGCTGTTGGGGAGCTCTGAGTCACAACCTCGATGGTACAGTAATCATAAGCACTATTATTACCGTGGTTCAAGGGCAACGCACTTAGGTTTCCCACGGGGATCACAAGTCCGGCGATCTTACTGGCAAAACGACGTCGGCCTTATTATGACCGCCAGCGGGGCGGCGGCGACGCTGCCTTACAGAACGGCGGTGGTTGATCAGTCCGGCCACGGCGATTTCAAGACCGTGCAGTCTGCTATCGACTCTGTCCCTTCAAATAATACCAACTGGGTTTCCATCCAAATCAACGCCGGGACTTATAGGTACTTCCGCGCATAATACTCATACTTGTTTTCCTAGTACTCGTAGTCGTGTCGCGTGTTTGTAAAATCGTACTGTACCGACGGGTGTACCGAAAAAATCGTTTAACTGTTAAAATCACTATTTCAACAACGGAATCTCATACTACTACGATTTTACAATTTTGGTTTTTCTTGAATTTTTCTTTTCAGTTATGAGGTCTTTTTAGTGTCTTTCTCACAAAATGGCATTGATTTCTAGGGAGAAAGTGGTGATACCGAAAGAGAAACCATTCATAATTCTGAAAGGAAGAGGAAGAAGAAGGACTAAGATTGTGTGGGATGATCACACGTCGATAGAGTGCCCTACGTTCATGTCCCTAGCCGATAACATCATCGTCAAGGGTCTCGGCTTTGTGGTAATTTAACCTAACCTAATCTTGTCGCGGTCGTGCATTTGCCATGGATATTTCGAAATGAACTAGTAAGATACGAATATATACACAACCCTTCATAAGTCAAAAGTCAAAATACAGAAGAAAAAAAATATCTTGGTAAATAAGACGTTGAACTAATGATAGGGAAGCTTGTGTTTACCGCGGTGTTTAGAAACTTAATTAGGTATTTGTTTAATGACTTGTATGTTTCTTTGCCTTCAAATCAAAACAGAACTCTTACAACTACGGTGGTAGTAGTGACAACGAATTATTGCCGGCGGTGGCGGCTGAGGTGTCGGGAGACAAGACTTCGTTTTACGGCTGTGGGTTCTCCGGAGTTCAAGACACTCTGTGGGACAATGCCGGCAGACATTACTTCAAGAGGTGCACTATTGAGGGTGCCGTGGATTTCATATTTGGAAATGCCCAATCTATTTACGAGGTATGCACTTTGGCTTGGATGAGGAATTATAACAAATTAATTTCACTAAATTGTATTTTTGAGATGATTGATCAATTTGATTTGAAGAATCTTTTGTAAAATGAAAGAATTGGTCAAATTATTATAGAATGAGAAACTGGTAAATCTTTTTATGCAAAACTTTTCCTTCTCATTTGGTAGTTTTTCTTTAAATTGGCCCGAAACTCGCACCATTAAACTAATTTGACTAAAATTTCCATCTTGTCCTAAACTAAAGACTATATAGACTAATTTGGCCAAATTCGTTGGTTGACTCTCATAGAATTGGACAAAAAAATATATCAGTATAAATTATATTAAAAGGATACAAATTCACAATCTTCTTCTATCTTTGTATCTCCGTTCCTACTTCTATCACTTTTTCAATTTGACGGTTAACTCACGGACCACGCGACAAATCAATTTATATAGTCACTAGATATTTCGAAGTTAATTTAGAGTTGGGACCAATTTAAGATATTAATTTGTTTTAAGCTCTCAAGTTAACTTGTGGACCTTGTATATTTTAATCAGGAGTGTGCGATAAGAGTAGTTAAAGGAGGATTCATCACAGCTCAAGCAAGAGAAACCGCAGATTCTCCAAGCGGCTTTGTATTCAAAGGATGCACAGTCTCCGGCGTAGGCCTTTCCTACTTGGGAAGGCCATGGAGGCCATACGCTAGAGTCCTTTTCTTCAAGTCCAACTTCTCTCAAGTTGTGGATCCCAGGGGATGGGATCCTTGGAATCTTTCAGACCAGTAAGCCTTCCTTCTTCGTTTCTTTTCTTGCTCGGTCCTTCCTTTCCTTGTAAAACAACTCTGCTCTTATGTAAAATGAACAGGAATGGAGTGATCTATGCTGAGTATGGGAATTTCGGACCAGGAGCAGACACATCAAACAGGGTGAGCTGGGAGAAGAAGCTGTCAGTGGATGTGTGGGAGAAGATGACCAGTATGTCTTTCATCAATGAGGATGGATGGCTAGAAAGGCAACCCTACTGACTCAATCAATGACACTGTTATTATATTGTCTTTGTCCGTAGATAATGCTGCTGCAGGGAGTTGTAGCTCAGTAGGAAGTTACACTAATTATGCTCACTTAGTTTTAAGTGTAACTCTTCTGTTTTTTAATCCTCCTTACTAATGGAACCGAAATGAAATGATCACAAAAGAACGTAGGTCTTTCAACAAGGTAGTAAGATCATGTACGATGGCTAAAACGACTTTAGTGTGCCATATTTCTTTGATGCGTTGTTTTTTAGAAAATCCAAGAGCAGCAACATAGAACGACGAGTGACGAATCTGAGCCGTAAAAAGTTGCCGGCAGAGTTGTCCAACTCTAACAACAGATTACAATCAGACAGACATTGCAACCATTGTACATTGAACAAACCGAGGCCAATACTAGCAGCAGGAAGATCACCCTAATTGATTAGCACAACAGTTCAAATGCAAACATCACCAAAAGAAGGCCACGGCAAAGAAACTCTGCTGAAAGCTAGCTTCTAAATGCATAAAGGTATCACATGAGATACAAGGACAAAATCTTTAATCAAATAACATAACCCCCTGCTACATTAGGTCCTACAAGGTTCCAAAGTAAATCAACCGGAAATGGAAGATACATTGTTGACAGGTAACAAAACTTGAAAATCTGGAAAAGACTAGCTTCCAACACATCTAGCTCTCCGTCTGCTCCCTCAATCTGCGGATGGTACTCCTCACAGTCACAGCACTTGCGGTACTGTCACAGAAAACACCATTGGGCATCAGCACCACATCAAAAATGGAAAACATATCTGCTTCAAAGTTATAAAGAGATGCGAGTATATCTTACTTCATGGTGTAGGCACCTCCTGCTTTAACCTTGCCACAGTCCTTGCACCCCCAGATTCCCACAGCCTTTCTCTTCACAGCATCCTGGCAAAAGGGAGAAATAAGCTTTACATAAACCGAATGTTCAGAGATGAGGAAGAAACCAAGAATGATTCAGAAAAGACAGCACCCATCACTACCTTGCCACAGAACTCACAGAAGTACTTTCTGTGCTGGCTAACTTCCATCTTCTTGATTTGTTTCCTCAGACTGGCACCATAACGGGTTCCTGCAAAACAGAAAAGGAACATGAACATCACCTCCACCATCCACAAATCCATAAACCCCTCAAACATAAACACCATGATACCCTCCAGAAACAAAAGAAATGAACGCCATTGCACGCAGCATCTAGGAAGACTAACTAACATTCAACCAATTGCACAAAACCAAAAACTTGACACCATGTCCTTCTTCAGAAAACCGTCCTTTTTTTTTTTTTTTTTTTTTTGCAGTGATGCGGCAAAAGCAGCAAAAAGGAAAAAGGAGGAAAAACGTACCATATTTGCCGACAATCCCAACCTTCTTGGTTCTCTTGGCCTGTAAAAGAGGAGGGAGGTACAGAGACTCAGCTAGGTCCAGTAATCAAATCCTTTCGCACAACACAAAACCTTAGTTTCAGCATGGAAGCACAGAGCATAACTCTCACATGGTCTCGCCGAATTATTCAAATCAGATCTCAAATGGCCTAAAAGTCCCAATCGTTACTAAATAAAACGGAAGGATTCGCAGCAGCTAGGATGAAGATGAAAGAGAACTTACCATGGCGGACGGCGGTGAGAGATAGCAGCAGAAACCCTAGGCGAGACTCAAGAAAGACTCAATGACGGGTTGAAGTTTCTTATATATTAGGCTCAATTACACAAATGGTCATTGTAATTTAGGTTAATTGATAAACAGGTCACTAGACTTTGAGTGTTAACAAACTAGTCACTGTCTGCAGATTGAAGGCCTGGGCTGGATGTTGGACCATTTTGGATTCCGATTCCTGTGAAACCCAAATGGGTAGTAATCCGAAATATTGGCCCTGATTCTGAAGTTTCGATTCTGAATTACTCACTCCTCTAGTCCCCTGCTCACTGCAGAGTAAAATTGACTAGAATTGGGCCCGGCCCGTTGGCCGGGTGTCCTACAGAACCTTTACGTGAATTTTGCTTTATTGTATTTGAAGAACAGAGGGAGGGTAAAGTAGCATAATCCGTGGCCAATGATTATGCTTAATCAAATTTTAACTTATGAAATTCTATTTCGCTGAAAAAACAAATCCAAATATAATCTAGATAAGAGCACTATCACCTGATAAAAACATACATTTTTTTAGTAGTGTTTCTCTGGCTAACGGAATAGAAGTGAGATGACGACACTAATGAAGTGGTAGCAGAATGGAAAGTTTGTGTGGAGATAAAATGTGTTCAGATGTTTGGTGTAGATTATTGCAACTAGATCCATTGGTTTTGGCAAGGGTCTTAGTGGCAAGTTTAGTGGATTGAATCATAATATAAATTTTCCCCATATTCCAATACGGGAATATGATTTTCAAGCGATCCAATAGTGCTAACCAAAATGCCATTTGGAAACTGGAAGTGCTATAAGGGTTTAAAGACTTTGTCCTTTTTTATGATTTATCCTAACTCAAACTTAGAAGACTCATGCATAGTGATGGAATTTATGTGTATAGAAGTAAACAGGTTCCTTATCCCAAGTCTCTACCAGCGAACTTGCTCTTGTGGGAAAGTCCACTCAATTGTCAAAGAATGTCTCTTGCAAATTGGATTTGGAATGGGAGGTGTGGACTCCAGGGGCATTGATTGGTTCAATATGGATGGCCTGGTCACAGTGGAACGCATGCTTCTCGTGCTTAAAAATAATGAGTTAGTTTGCAGGATAATGGATTAAAGGGATGCACTTGAGATGCCTAATCAAGGGGAAGTTGTTTCGAGTTTTCCCAACCAATTTGTTGTTGAGTTTTGGCAGAGCATAATATAGCAGTTTGCTGCTTGCTTGGTGTGGTTATGATTACAGTTAAGAGTAAAGTGTAGTAGAGACGTGATGGTTTAGAGTCTCTTCATCACGATATAAACAGGCAGCTAATGATGGTAGCCAAGTGCAAGATTGAATAAGCAAATAAATAGATTAAAAAGATTCATCGAGATGATTCAATTATACCAAATTTCAATGCTCAAAATTGATAAGCAAATAACTAATGCATAAAAGGGCAAGAAAGATAGCTAACACAAACAATAAAATTATCTAAACAATGCATTAAACATTGAAAGTAGATTTGTATTCCTAACAACAACAATTAGATTATCTAGAAAATGCAGCAATCCTTGTCATCAATCCTTGCCACTGATGAACCAAACTTGAGAATCAAAGATAATCATCTTCCATATGGATATGCAAAGAGGCGACACATCAACAGGGTAGAAAGAAGAAAAACAACAGCAAACTGTCAAAAAATTTGCTGCGAACCCTCTCGGTTAATTTTCATTGTTAGCAGACAGAGCTACATTCAGACTGACTAACTGAAGATAGATTTGGCAGTGCTGAACCAAACTTGAGAAACCAAATATGTCAATTCAACAAAGGGAAAACTATTAATCATATGGGAAAGGATTGTTGTCTGAGAACACCACTGCATTTCACAATTGGAACTTAACAAATGGTAATAATCCATGAGGGGCAAACCTATAAACAGAGTTGCAATTGCATAACTGGCCCATTCGAAGAGAAAAGGTAGAGGGGACATCACACACAGGCTCTACAAAGCAAAAATAGAAAACTTGCCTACCTAAAAGAGCTTAAAAAGAAGAATACTCAAAGATCCTGACCACGAATTTGTTCGGCGACTCAACTGCAATGTGCGAGGCTTATGGCTTTTCTTCTAGGAGGGGTTGGTAGAGGGACGGGGAGAAAGACAAATTGCGCGGGGCGACAGACGGAGAGAGCGAGAGGAGTGGGGAATTTTCCTGGGGATAAAGGAGGAGGGCTTTTCTTCTGGGTTGAGTTGGTAGAGAGACAGGAAAAGACAGATTCCGCCGAGAGACAAACAGCGAGAGCTCAGGAGTGAGGATTGTTTCCTTCGGATCGCAAGATAGAGCAAACGACAACAACACAGCGACGATCAAAGAAGTTCAGTGAGGTCGACAACGGAAAACGGAGGAAAGGCTGGTGGGAGTCTCGATTTCCGACTCGAGTTGGGAAGAGAAGGAAAGAGATATTTGCACTTCGCAGTCGAGAAGGACAGACAGTAAGAAAGAGAGAGTTTCTGAATTGACAATAACAACCCTCCGAACTTTGCGGCTATTTCAGCAAAGTCTGACATGGCAAAAGCGGTATATTGACATTGCCTTATAGTAATTTTTAGATAAAGGAAATGAGATAGGTGACAATCGAAAATTAAGGGGGTTTAATGGTTCAATTTGTTTAAGGTGACAATAAAACTGAATCGGTATTCGTCGCCCTAAAATTTAAATTTTTCGCCCTAAACTATACCAAACTGACAATTGTATCCCTAGTAACGAAAATAGAATCCCCACCGCCAACCCGAGCCGCGGTGGCCGCCGCCCGCCTCCCTTTCTTACGCTCTGAAAAATACCTAATGGATTTGTTGTTGTTGACCAGCGCCTCTCTTAATGAAGGAGAAGAAATCAGTCCAATCCTCATCACCTCTCTTCATGTACAATACTAAATGAGTTAGAATGGTCTGTTGATTTCATTATTTGGATTTGAATCATCACCATCGCATTGTTACAGGGTATTTGTTAGCGATCAAGCTGATGAATATAACGGATCTAGGGTGTATGAGATTGAGTTGTTTGAGAATGGGTTATGGAATTTGACAGACGAATGAGCTTCGACAGGGGAGATGGGCGAGGCAGAGGTGGCCGGCGGAAGAGTATGTGGAGGTCGTCGGCTCGAAGCAAAATGTTCTGCGGTTGCTTCTTCCTCTTCTTCCTCCGCAGAATGCCCGGTCGCCGGTTGAGGCTTAGACGAATTTCTTCAGAGAGGCGGTGAGTTAGAATGCCTAGTCGCCGGTTGCTTCTTCCTCCGCAGACGTCGGCGACGACAGAGGAGTTGGGAGGTGCTTTTGTCGGAGGTTGGACTGAGAACAGACGAGGGTAATTGGTAAATTGAAAGTTAAGGATAAATGTGTAATTTTGTATGTTTTAGGGTGATAAATTCAATTTTTTAGGGCGATGAATAACAATGCCCCCAATAAAAAGGGTAAATTGCAAGTTTGGTCACTAGAATTATTACAAGATTTCACATTTGCCACTAAAATTATTTTATCCCATTTATGGTCACTAAAATTAGTTAAAGAGTCCAAGTTGTCACTGGCCGTTAGCTTTTGTTTTAGTCTCCGTTCACACCGTCAATTTTTTGCTGACTTGGCTAAAAAAAAGCTGAGTTAGCCGAATTTAATTCAAAAAAATTTACGCAACCCACCACGTCATAAAAAACCAACCCGTGCTCATCCAAACCTAGAGACCCGTGAGTCGTGACCCAAACCCAACCCACTCCTTTGTTGATTCAACTCTCTCTTCCTCCATCTCTTGTTACAATACCCACACACTCTGATTCTCCCTCTCTTCCTCAATCTCCTCGCCAAAACCCCCTTGCCAAAATCCCAACTGGCTACCCACTCCCTTCCTAGAACCCCCACCCTGCCATCAGCTCTCTATTCTCAAAACCCAACCCCCACCATCAGCTTAATTGATGAAGCTCATTGTTCCTCCGCCGCCATCATCGCCATCTAGATCTGCGGGAAAGGCTGGTAGGAAGAAAGGAAAAACCCGAATTTTGCTGGAAGAAAGGAAGAACACATATTCCACGAACCCATATGTCGTCGGAAGAAAGAAAGAATTCAAATTGAGCGTTGTAGGATTGAGCAATGCCCTCTATGGTGGAGAAAGTGCCCAGCCCTTTTCCCCAGCTGCCCTGTCTCACCCCTCAATACTGCAACTTACGATGATTTGAGTTGCTGACTCTGTTGCTAATGGCGGCGGAGGGAGATGAAGGATCCAACTCTCACGGACCCAGAGCTGTCGGAGCCCCGACCTCCTTCGTTGTTGCTGTCACTTCATCATTGCCATAGCCTCCTTCTAATCATCTCGATTTCGATGGAACTGGACCCGAGGACAACAATGTTTGGTGGAAGGCCAAGAGTTCTCACACAGACTCCACGAATGTACATCTCCCAAGAAGGTTCAACGAGGATATGGCAACGAGTTCTCGCTAAACAGGCGGTGGCGCCGCCGAAGTGGCCTCGTAGTTGGCGGCACTGATCGACGATTGAGGAGATGCCGGAGATGATTGAAGAGATGTCCCGCTGCTACCAACTTCATCGACGATTGAGGAGATGTCGGAGATGATCGATTGACGAGATTGCGGCACCGACCGACGATTGAGGCCTCTCACGTTTTGTTTCTGTTTGCTCTATTTTTGGTTAATCGACATTGAATTCATCTCCTCTCTTCCATTAAAATCATTTTGTCCCTTGGCCATGCTAAGGGGAGAGGACGAGTCACTAAAGCGGTGGAGAGCGCACATTTTAAGCCAAAGTGGCAAGCCTTCGTTTAGCGGCAGCTGGGGAGTCGGGAGGTGGAAGAGAGAGTTGGAGAAGAAAGGGGAGTGGGTCGGGTGGGAGTGTGTAGGGTTGAGTCATGGGTTGGTTTTGATAATGATAATGCGTCTAGTTTTGATGATGTGGTGGGTCAATTATAAAAAATAAATTGGTCAAAATATGCTGATTGGGCATTTCTGTTAACCATATGAGAAAAAACTGAAGGCATTAACGCAAGCTAACGGTCAGCGACTAAATTTGGACTCTTTAACTAATCTTAGTGACCATGAATGGAATAAAGTAATTTTAGTGGCAAATGTGACATTTTTTAGTAATCTCAATGACCAAATTGCAATTTAGCTATGGTTTGTGGTTTTTGTGGCATGTATGGATTTTTTTGGCATGCTTCATTGTATTTGTTGTGTGTTTTAATAAACTTGTGATATACTTTATAGGACTTGTGGTATACTTCATGAAATTTGTGGTATGTTTTATCATATTTGTGGCATGCTTCATCATGAGATTATTGGTCTACTTTAGAAACTTGTGGTGTGCTTTATAAAATTGTGGTATGTTTTATAGGATTTGTGGTATACTTTAGTAAACTTATGATCATAGACCAGGAAACCGGATCGTACTGGCTGGTTCAACCGATTCAACCGGGAATTGGACCAAAAGCGGTATGGTTGGCTGCTTGTGCTGATTTTACCGTGCCGGCCGGTTTTTTCGGTTTGACCGGTTGAACCGGCCGGTACGATCCGGTTTCCTGGTCTATGATTCAGCTTCATTTCTACGTATTCTCGTCCAATATGTGGAAAATAATTAAAAAAGAATATTATTTTGCTATTTTTCTATGTTGAAAATGGGTCACCGTGGTTGTATAATGCTCTATTTGGTTCTTTTTTTGATGGATTATATTTTTTATACTATCGCATTTCATTTCTCTATCAATAGTGAAAAATGGTATTTATCGGTACAAAACGGTTGAACCACGGTCGTACCACAAAATACCATACTAGAAAGTAATCCGGTATGATGTCCGGTACGGTTTCCTTTATCATGCTTATGATATGTTTTATGAGACTTGTGGTATGTTTGTATTATGCTTATCGAGACTTGTGGTTTGCTTCATGAGTTTGTGGTGTAGTAAGGTTGTTTCTAGTATTTCTGGTATGTGTTTGGTGGTCCCCACTTCGTTTCCCTATAAATGCACCCCTTCCCCAATTAACATACGCAAGTTCCCTTCTCCCCAATTTTCAATTAATGACTAGTGTGCCCCTGAGTGGCCTTCCTTAGTAATTGTAGTCAACTCATTTAAATTCAAAAGTCATCTAAACGAAATGTTTCTATTGGTTGGAACTAGTGTTAGCACCATGCTAACATAAAAAGTGTTAACACCCTAACCTTTCCTGTCCGATCAAACCATGATAATATCATGGTCGAAGATAACTAAATCACTAGTACATTCAATATTTCAACACGGCTGCGTATGATTTAGTATGCGTGTGAATCTAATATTGCTAATCTTTAAAATGTTTCATCCTATTATATAGAATCAAGATATTTTATTTATTATTCAATTTAAATAATAATATAATCAAGCAAAAACGAGAAGAAACAAAACATCAATCAAATTGTACTAAGACATAATCATATTCGAGGACCACTTCAGATTTCAATAACCTAAACTACAATGGCTTTATAGCATGTCATAGACAAATGAAATCAAGATTAGTGATAGATTATATGAAGAGCCCTTGTTGTTTGAGCCTAGAAAGTACTAGGCGGTTTGTGTGGAACGCGAGTGAGGCATCTGTTCTTGGTGAGGGAACACACTCCTGGGCCCTGCGAAACAAAGGTCCATGGGTGGTGTCACAAGGAAGATTCTAGAATACTCTAGAAGGTTGTAGGAACATGCATGCATCTCTAGATTCATGCTCCAATGTACATGAATCCCCCTTATCTATTATGATGCATTCACCTTATTTTATTACGATTCATGTATGTGGCAAGTTCATGTATGGGGGGACTTCTAGGTTTGTTCATCAATGACGCCTACATACATTGTACTTAGTGGAGAGGATGTCTATATAAGCATCCCTCTCCCTCGCTTTTCATTCATCCAGAAATTGAGAGTTTCCATCTCTAGAGTTTTCTCCCTACTTGTGAGTTTGAGTGAATGCGAGCTAGGCGGACTTGGTGCTCTAACGAGACCTGAGTGCTAAGTTTCGCACGACAAAGAGTTGGTCCGTGACAAGTGGTATCAGAGCTAGGTAGTGACTCATCAAGTGAGAAAGAACCTCGAAGAGATGGTTGAATCCGCGTCCAAAGTTGTCAATGAAAAGCAACGAGGGCGTGAGCAAAAGAAGGACACAAATGTACATGGGCGTTGGGCCGTGCTTGGGCCGGCATGGCACGGGCATGCTTCGGGCCCATTTATTTCGTGTCGTGCTTGGCACGGCCCGTCAGTTTTCGTTCCGTGCCATGCAAGCCCATTTGTTAATTTTGCTAGGCCCGGCCCAGGCCCGGCCACGTTTCGAATCGTGACGTGCCTATTCGTGCTCGTTCCATGCTCGTATTCGTGTTTAATGAAAATGACGAAAACAAAAGAGAGAATGAAAAAGAAAGTGAAAATTGGACGGGGGAAGATAGTATTAACCGATAATGTTTGAGAAAAGTAACAAATAAGCGGGAAAAGAAAATTGGAAGTATAGCGGGAAAAGAATTCTTTGTCCATTTTTACTTATGTTAGTAATTACGTATATATCTTTATGACACTTCTAACAACAACAAATAATTATTTTTCTACTTGTGTTTTGTAATATTTGAACCTATAATTCTTTTCATATTTATTTTCTATCAAATAAATATTATTTTGGTACCATGTCCGTTCTTTTACTCAATAAAGTCTCGAAAATATTAGGCCCGACACGGCCCACTTATATACCGTGTCGTGCCCGTGCCCATGAAGTTTAGGCCTGGCACGACCCATAAATTATTCGTGCTCGTGCCGGGCTGGCCCATTTATTTCATGCCCGTGCTCGTGCCGTGCTCTAACCGTGCTCGTGCCGTTCTAGCCCATGGGCGGCACGGCCCGGTGCCCACGTACAGCACAAACAAGACCAAGAGAGGCTGATCTACTCGTGAGCCCTTGGCTGCTTTGGATGAGATTTTCTCGAGGGCGGAGGTGAAGGTTGCGGACCACTTCACCATGTTAGAAGACATGGAGACTAACATCGACCAAGTTGGCATAGAGATGCAGACCTTGAAGAGCGACGTGCAAGGTGTGGCTGCTCGAATGACGGGTTTGGAGGTGGGGTTGGAAGCTTTTCAAAATGAGTTTCTAACCATCATCACCAACGCCATCGACTCCTTGAAGGGACCATTCGAGCAAAGGTGAACTACGTGCTGGAGGATTTTGACGAGCTTCGAGGGGAGTTCAATCTCATCAAGGGAGCGGTGGCTAACGGACCTGCCACAACGCAATTTACCCCACGAGCGCGAGGGAATTGGAGAATTTCCTCTTGAGTCTTGAACAATATTTCAAGGCTTCGGGCATCAAAGACAGCGAGTTCATTGTGCACCGCCTCACTTTACTTGGTCGATACGGTCATGATGTGGTGGAGGAGACGTCAAGGAGACATCGATAGAGGCACGTGTGAGATGAACATGTGGGAGGATTTCCGTACAGAAATCAAGAAGCAATTTTATACGGAGAATGTGGAAACGGAGGCTCGTGCGAAGCTACGATGACTCACCCACACCGGCAGAATTCGTGAGTATGTCAAAGAATTCTTGGAATTGCTAATTGAGATCTCCAATTATCCGGACAAGGAGGCCTTGTTCGCGTTCTTGTACGGCTTGAAACCATGGGCGAGGTTGGAGCTACAACGACGAGGTGTGCAAGACCTTGCCTCAGCAATGGCGATCGCCAAAACCTTTGTTGAGTATCAGAGGCCGGAGGAGCAAGAGGCATCCGACAACAACAGTGGGGGCATGGCGACTACTCCCACTAAGGCAAGAGGACACACCAACGTGGTGACTCAAACAAAGGAGGTAAGGGGAGAATAGTTGATAAACCTATTTCTTGCTTTCTTTTTGATGGACCACATCGCGTAAGAGATTGTCCCAAGAGGAGTAAATTAGCCGCAATGCTCGTGGAAGATAACTCAGAAGAGGAGGAGGCTCCAAGAGTAGAGAACCAAACTTCGAAATTGGGCGACCTAAGCGTGTTAGGAGCAATGAAGGGGTCATAAGGTCCTCCTCCTGCTAAGGAAACAATTTCCTCGGCGTGGATGAAGCATGGAAGCTTAACATCCCGTACAAGAAGATGAGAGGGTGGCTGAAGACATTGAATTCGGAAGCCACACCAACACATGGAGTTGCTAGAAAGGTGTGGATCCCCCTTGGAGATTGGATGGGGGAGGCGAACTTTCATGTGGTGTCGATGGATGACTATCCAATCATCATGGACAAGAAGAGGGTTTTTCCTATTCCCTTCGAGAATGTGATGTTCATCTTTGGGGGAGAGAAAATAAGCAAGGTGCCACTATTAAGAGAGGCACACAGAGCTCTAAAGGCTTGCTCAGCAATGCAAGTCGCGAGCAGGAAAGCATGGACCAAGATGGAACAGGCGGTAAGCTCGAAGTCTCGACGGAAGAAGACAACGACATAGAAAGAGCTACATCTTAGGGCCATGAGAGTCATGCATGAGTCGGGGCCATCCTTTGCTCACCATGGAGCAGATCTTTACCACGCCAACTATCTTGCCGATGCGAAGAAGGCGCCAAGATGAGGACGTCGTGAATTTGGTGGGGGAGAATGTCACAAGGAAGATTCTAGAAGACTCTATAAGGGTGTATGTACATGCATGCATCTATAGATTCATGCTCCAATTGTACATGCATCCCCCTAATCTATTATGATGCATTCACCTCTCCAATTGTACATGCATCCCCCTGATCTATTATGATGCATTCACCTTATTTATTATGATTCATGTATGTGGCAAGTTCATGTATAGGGGGACTTCTAGGTTCATTCATTAATGACGCCTACATACATTGTACTTAGTGGAGAGGATGCCTATATAAGCATCCATCCCCCTAACTTTTCATTCATCAAGAAATTGAGAGTTTCCATCACTAGATTTTCCCCCCTACTTGTGAGTTTGAGTGAATGCA